CCCAGAATGCCTCAGCCAGACACGCTGGCTGAGGAATTCTGGGAGTTGAAGTCCACGAGTCATAAAAGGGCCACCTTTGAAGACCCCTGGCTTAAGCTAATGGCTGGCATTTTATTTTATTTTTAAATCAGAGATTCTGTTAAATTCTGCCTAGCTTGAGCTGCCTAGCAACAAACTGTTTTTTGTTTTTATTTTTTTTAAAAAAGCCTGCTACCTGTAGTTCCTGAAATCAGAAACAGCTGATTGGCGGCTGGCAGCCGTGAAAAAATCTCCTGGTCCAGGCAGCCATTGGAGGAAACAGTAAGTCAGATCTTTCTTCATTTAACGACTCATTTCATTCAGTTAGTGAGTTTGATTTTAAAATGTTGTAATATTGAGTCTGATTCATTTGGCGAGATTTTTGAGTTAGGAGCCTAATGGGCAGGCTCTATTCGGCTCATACCTCGGGGATTTACCTGTACTTCCCACCTTTTCATTGCATTATTTTCCCCATGCCCTTATTAAAGACAAGAAAGCCTTATAAGTCAGTTTTATTAGCTATATATATATATATATATATATATATATATATATATATATATATATATATATATAGAGAGAGAGAGAGAGAGAGAGAGAGAGAGAGAGAGAGAGAGAGAGACTAAAAGCAGAAAAAGAGCATTGGGCGCCCTCTAGTGAAGCTTTTCTGAAATGCAGCCGGAGCAGGGAAGGGAATAAGGGCAGAAAAACAGTTGTGTGTGACTCAAGAATCCTACAGATATGCAGGTAAGACTGGTAAGTCCTCAACGTACGGCCACAATTGGGAATGGAACTTTTGTCATTAAGGGATGTGTTGTTAACTGAGCCGCACCCAGTTTTCATGACTTTTTGCCGTGGTGGTTCAGCCAATCCAGTTTCCTCCACGCCGGAAGCTCTCTGGAAAGGCCATGGATGGGCCACCAGGTGACTCCAGGATGCTATGGCCGTCGTAAACACCTGCCAAGGGTCCCCATCATGTGGCCATGGGGATGCTGATGGTCATAAGTCACTTCTTTTCGACAGGTGGCTAAACGAATGTCGTAAGTTGAGGACCATCTGTACGGCAAACCGGGCAGCTGCGATTCTAGACTTGAAGCCTGGGCAGCTGTCCATCCTAGGATCGACTGAAGCGGTTCAGGTTTTCACTTTCTCTCTACCCAGGCGGTCCTCGACTTAACGACGGTTCATTTAGCGACCGTTTGGAATTACAACAGCACTGGAAAAAGTGATTTAGGACTGCCTTTCAACCTTTGGGACCGTTGCAGCCTCCCCGGGGTCACGCAATCAAAATCCGGCCGCTTGGCAAGTGACTCGTATTTATGACGGCTGCAGCGTCCCAGGGTCATGTGACCGTGTGTGACCTTCTGACGAGCAGTCAATGGGGAAGCCAGGTTCACTTAACAACCGGCTTAGTAACTTATCAACAGAGATTGTCGTAAGTTGAGGACCACCTGTATAATCTATCTATCTCCTGGCTTCGCCTGCAATAAGAATCCGATACACAGCGGGTTAAAAGTTCAAGGAACTGGGAGCCAGGAAGCAGGTAAGGTCTCACCTGGCGTGCACCTCCCACAGCTTGGTGCTCATTCGCTGGTCCCACACGCAGACCAGCCCTTCCTCTCCTCCGCTGACCACCTTCCAGTCGTCCATCTGCACCGCCGAGACCCCCAACTGGTGTCCGTAAAGCGAGGAGACAGGATCGCTTCTGCGGAGGTCGTACACCATCACCCTGCAAAGCAAAACCAGGAGTTGTAAACATTTTAAGGGGTAATAATAATAATAATAAAGTTGGGAGGGACCTTGGAGGTCATCTAGTCCAACCCCCTGCTCAGGCAGGAAACCCTATACCATTTCGGACAAATGGTGGCTGGCAAGATTATACGTGGACCTTCCCAGGGGCTTCTGACAAGCCAAGTCAAAGAGGGAAGTCAGGTTCAGAATAGAATACAGAATGGCAGAGTTGGGAGGGAACTTGGAGGTCATCTAGTCCAACCCCCTGCTCAAGCAGGAGACCCTCTACCATTCCAGACCAATGGCTGTCTGGTCCCTTCTTCAAAGCCTCCAGTGATGGAGCACCCACAACCTTTGGAGGCAAGTCGTTCCACTGGTTAATTGTTCTCACGGTGAGGAAATTTCTCTTTAGTTCTAGGTTGCTTCTCTCCTGGATAAGCTTCCAGCTGTTACACCTTGCCCTGCTTAACGACTGCCTAATTCCCTGAACAAGTGCAGTGATTCGCTTAACAACCAAGGCAGAAAAAAGGTCGTAAAATCAGGCTCAACTCACTTAAGAACCACCTTGCTCCCGATGGTGGTCATTAAGTCGGGGACTTGCCTGTACTTAATTCTTTCCGCCCTGTGCACTCTAAAACGTTTTGGAATCTTTGGTGCAAGAAATGTTGGCTTGAAAGGAGAGGCCAAACCAACTAGAGAGACTGCAGTGTTCAATCAAGATGCCCCAGTCAAATGAAAGGAACAGACTAACAATCTTTGTGATCTAGTATTCTCCTTCTTCCTAGCCAGCAAGAGATTTCTGGCAATTGATGCTCTCTTGGAGTCATCGCACAGCAATAAAGGTAAACTAGATCTGAACATGGCAGTTCCACTTGGCACTCGCAAGGAGGAATCGGCAACGGCCCACATCCATCTGGGAATATGTCTAATTCCCTTCTAAAGCCAGCAGCCGTCGCCGCCTCTTAACCGCCTACATTAAAATGGGAAACCAGATGATCAGAAACTAACCCAATCTGACACAACGGTTGAACCTCTTGGGCTTGCCAGCCGAGGATCTTGGTGCTTATGAAGAGCCAATCAACGGCTTCTGCTGGGATTATCGTCTCGGCTTTATCAAAATGAGAAATCAATGTATGATTTCATGCAATCCATCGGG